ACTCAGCTAAAAGAGCACTGGATTCAGAAAATTACTGCCAACCACAGGGGAAAGAAAATCTGGCTGACGTGTCCGCTGCCAATGTGACATTTTGAGAACTCCAACTCCTCTCGTTTCTATAATATTTGATGACTCGTTTTCCTGATTTACCAGTACAAGGGTCAGCAGCAGGGCTAGGTAAAAACAGAAGGCTGCCAATACAGCTAGGCAGCCAGTGACGGCTGTGACATATTTGTGTTAATGTGCCATTGGCACCAGGTACTTCCTACCTTCATAAGGGACCACAGAGTTTACCTGCACAAGATCCACAGCTGTTGTAGAAAAATCACAGCAGTAAACAAAAAGGCCTGGGTCACTGAAATAAAGAAAAGAAACTATCATCATTTATATAAAGATGCTCCACAGGAATTAAGAAGTGTCTCAAGTGCACAGAGCACAGAACTGGAAGCCAGAAATCCTGGGTTTCAGTCTCTGTCAATAATGCCTTGAGCAAAATCTAGTGGATCACGTTGCTCCTTAATGCCTCAGTTATGGAACTGACTGCTTACTTTTCCTTCTGGAAAAGGAGAGACACTAAGGCCAGTATGAAAATGCTTTCAGAATGAGACATCTAAACTCACATCATGTTTTGCTGCTTGCATTCTTGGACCAAAGACTTCCAAGCTCAAAACACAATCATCTGAAGTTGCAGATGGGAAAGGTACCATTTGCACCTGGCCTTTCTCTGGGATTGTCTAAACTAAGAGCACAGGCAACATTTCCAAATGCTTTTCAGAGGCCGGTATATCAAGCAGATGAAATACTTACTTATTGGTTTGTAAAATTGGGAAGACTGTATTTCCAGCACCACAGCCAACCTGCACAAAGAAAGATGTACACATAGTAAAAATAATTTCTTCAGCATGTCCCATGCAGCCGATTTCAAATCGTCTCTTTACAGCCATGGAACAAAGAGCAACTCATGAGTAACAACTGAGCATAGCAGTGACCATTTGCAAATCTCCCTGCAATATCTGAATACGTTCAGCTCTGAGGAGCAGGCTCACATATAGATATTTGTGGGAAACCACTAAGCCAGTTCTTGTAGAAATCTTACTAACAAGCTATATATTGTTACTCCTTTGAAAACTGTTATTGCTGGAATCCCAAGCGTAACAGCCAGTATGAGTCACTGCAGCATTGGCAAAAGCCACGGATTAGTTGCATTCACTTCCATAGAAAATCGCAGCAATGGAGAAAGAAGTTTGCTTTACTATAATTACATCCTGCTGTTTCAGAGTTTCCTTCACTAGATGGCTCTTCCTCAAGTTACAACTACGCCTGCAATGATTCTGTTGTACTATTCCTTCTGCTTGTTCCCATTTGAAGAGGAGATGGCTCACACAACTGGGTTTGGGGATTTTGCCTCTGAATGTTTAAGGAATCAGTAAAACTGAAGTAGGCTGAGCAGAAAACACCACTGATGGCTTACAGTGACAGCACTAAAAATACTCAGGAGAGACAGGAAAGCCACAATGACCCACGAACATCAAAGTCTGAGGAAGTCTTGAAACTTTAGATTAAAAAATAGCAAGGACGGTTCATATTGACTCTCCTTGGAAGGACAGAACTTCCATAGCACATGAAGCATTTAACAAAATAAGTGATATCTACAGTGAACAAACGAGAGGTGGCAGAGCAAAATGTCACTACCAGGTATCAGGAGTCTAATACTGAGAGGTCCTACAGACTTTTCTGGGCAAACTCTGTCTCACTCTGAGACTCCTCCTTATTACATGGGCCATAGGGAACAAACCAAACAGCATCTTTACATTATTGGCTTTCTCGTTTTGTTTCCCACCTCCCAAGGCAAACAAGAATCAGCACAAACATGGAAAACATAAATAACAAAGGAAAGCTTCATACAGACAAGTAAAAAAAAATCAGCGTCTTCAAAAGATGACTTAAATGCTTGTTGCAACACCTGATAGTAATAGCTTATCTTTTAAACTCAAAAACTCCTGCTCTGCCAATTCAGTCTGAACCAAAAGAACCCAAACAGATTTAATTCGGTTATAAGCTGCCCTCTGTTTTTTGCATTTTACTAATGCACAGCAATCATCCCATTCACCTGCTGTTTGCCAGTGATGTTTTTATGTCCCGGTCACACTAACACTGACAGAACGGATTATTTGATGTGTGGCAATCTGGTTTACAGCTATTACCTCTAAGATACGGTAAGATGCAGATGATCCCGGGAAACCTCCACCACTTTGGTTCAGCTCACTGTACTTCTGCGTGGCCAACTCCTCTGTGCGGATCTTAGGTGTGCATCTGATCAGGTTTAACTGATTCTCTGCTCTGGTTTCCACTGAACAATGTCCATTTTCACAGCTTCCCAGCCTTTCATTGCTGGATTCTTCTTTGTTACTAAATTCTTGGACAGAATCCCCATTTTGACTTGGGTTCCTGTTAGGTGCCAGCTCAGGAAATTCAGTGAACAGCCAGTGCCTGTCCTTGAAGAAGCCATTTTCATGGATTTTATAAAAGTCATCCCAGTACCTCTTAGCATTCACCTCGTATTCCTCTGTAAACACAAACAAAACCATCAGCAGCAGTCAAACCAGAAGGTCTCACAGTCTAATCAGTTCAGGCAGTCAGGATCACCAGAGACATCTATTCAGCAATCTGCTTTAATAAGTAAGGTTATCGATTGAAAATCACCTTTATTTAAATCGTGTCATCCCACATGAACACTCAGCCTGCCTCCTCACAGTTGCTTTGTTAGGACTAAAAAGGGAAAAGAGATAGAAGAGGAAGCTGGCTGTCTCCTGGTAGGATTTAAAGGAAGCTGGCAACAGAAAAGGCCTCTGTGCAGGAGGCTGGAATGAAGAAATCCAGGTTTTACTTCCATCTCCAATGCTAACTTGTTCAGCTCACTGGAATAATTCATTTGGAGCCTCATGGCATTAAGTGTCAAGCACTTACAACTTCTAAGACAGCTGCCTGGAGCTGAAGAGCTCTGTCCAACACACCACCCCCTTTTTCCAATGGAGAAACAGAAAATAAGTTAACTATACAGGCCTGGCAGAAAGCTTAATTAGCAGTTGTGCAATACTCCAAGATTACAGGACAGCATCTCTTACACAAGTATTGCTAGAGTCAATCTACAGCACTTTGATTTCATAGCTCAGTGCAAGTTAAGGCATCACACATTTATGAAATCAAAACAAAAGAGAAACCAACAGAAGTGACCACAGTCATTAAAGTAATAGTGGAGAGCTAAGGTGGATAGACTAAAGACGATAAGAATTAACTTCAGCAGCAAGCATTATCATTTTCACACCAAGTGAATACATTCCAGTAGCAAGATGAGCATTACAGAAAGCTGCAAGAACTCTTACACAGCCAGGACCTAATGAAATTCGAGTCGCCCACAGGATGATTTCCACACACCTTCACACATTTCAGATCCAGTACAGGGGATCTATTTTTTAACATGGGAAATTATGAATTCAACTGGCTTCCTGCATTCTCATCAATGTGCCAAGTTCTCTGTCCTTGGAAATAAGAGCTAATTATAGCATCCTATACCTGCAATCACCTAGAGGCATTAACATCCACGGCCAGGGAACCCAACTGCATTTCAATACCATGCGACTCCTTTGCCACCTTTGCACAGCAACAAGTGCAGCACTGAATGCAAATGATTCCCCCACAGTTAAAGATGACAACTGCATGCGAGAACAGATAAATTCTTTCCAACATGTGCCAAGAGAAGGGTTAAGAAAAAAAGCAGGCATCTTAAAATTGGAGATTAGTATCATTATCTGAACTCCAGTTTATCTATTAGTCTTTCAGAAAAGCATGTGAGTGTTTAGAAGATATCTGGAGTCAGTAAACAAAACCTAAAAAACACCTGGAAAAATACGTAGCCTCAGCCATATATAGACAAAAATGGCTTTAACAAAGAACCAGGAGCCAGTCATTGGTATATTTTTAGTAGGATCTATCCCTGAAGCACAAAGAGCTATACATAAAAATAATCTCTTTACCTCAACTACAAGGGTTTTCTCCTTTTAAGAAATCTTGTCCTTAAGCCCCAAGCTAAAAGAAATTTTAATGTCTGATATTAGACTAGAGCAGTAAGTTCGTGCCAGGATCTCACTGTAGCTCAAAGTAAGCTTGAAAGGTCAAGGCACTTTACTATTTGCATAGGAGAACTCAATGACTTCTAATGTCAGAAGAAGAAGTGTTATTGATCCAGTCCCTGCTCACTCCTTCCTGATTTGTCACTGTCCATGCACTAGTAGGGATATGCAAGGCTGCTGGGGCTGTGAATGCTCTTTAAGCTAGCAAAAATAAAGTCCCGATTCCTAATAAAGTCCCAATTCCTGATAGTCCCTAGCAACCCCTTGACAACCTGAGTTCATCAGGATGCTTATCTGAGGTGCTGTGGCAATATTCCAACCCAGCCACTTTGGGTTATCCACATTTTTGCCACAGTATAATGCTGAACAAGACGTTGTGCTCCTCCTGCGTTAAATTGTGAAATTCTGTTGGATGCTATTGAACAGCTGTTATGCTCCAACCCACATGGGTGGATGCTTTAGGTAAGGCTCATTTACCTCATAGCCTAGTGTTTTCAAAGCAGTGGAATAAAGGATCAGTAACAGCATAAATGCAAAAAATCAAGGGCCAGCTGACAAAGATCATGCAAAAAATAGAACTAAAGCAAAAAAATGATCGTAGTATTTTTTCAGTCTGACTTCCTGCACAACTTATGCCAGAAAAGTTCACATAATACTCGCTTCGAGACCCTTTTTGTGGTATTAGCTCACAAGGACATCGGCCAGATTCCTCCAGAGACTTTCTTGATAAGGATTCTTTCTTCTCATCTTTGTAAGGACACCCCCAAAGCCAAGCCCATACTCACCCTTTCACACTGCAGGAGAAGTGCAAACAAAAGTAACTGTTCACAAAATACAGGAAGAGAACCAGGGACCCCCTGAATTACATGGCAGGGGCTAATTATGGAGCCTCAAAAGGAAACCAAGAAACTCTTCCACTTTCCAGTCAGGAGACACATCTTCAACATAGCCCACAGAACTTCTCTCCTTCTTCAAAACAAATTGTGACAGCCCCAAGAAGTCCACAGAATAATACAGCCATAATGACCAATAGCCTGCCTTTGTTCTCATGCCTGGACATCGCTGAGTCTCAAAACACCAGACCCTTCAGGCACATTTGACTGGGCTGGTTTCCCTACGTTTCAGCCACCCCATTGTCTCCACATGCCTCCCACTGAATAGCAGCCATCAAAATGTGATGGGTCTCCATTGTTCGGTCTGGGAAATACATAGTGAAGACCTGGCACGCTGCTCTAACAGAAAATTGCTCCACAATTTCGTAGTTGCATATAGGTCCTCAAAGCATGACAGATAGCACCCTTTAATGTTAACCAGATTTTAAAATGAACTCAACACAATGGGTACCACAATAGACACTGCTGGATACTTCTGGGAATCCAAGAAATTAGGAGGGTTGCTCTTTGGTATAATTACATTTGCTATTGTGAACATAACTGGAAGCTATATGGGAAGTGTCTCAATAGCTCCAGTAGTGTTCAGCATCGCCTTACAGATGACACACTCAATTTAATTTTAACAAAAGGAGCAGATCCATCCTAGAACTCGACGGGACATAACAAGATCATAAGCAAAAAAGTCTCTTATCATACCAGAGAACCAGAAGCCACCAGCACCATTTAAGGGACTGGATGATACCTGACAGGCGTGGGGGATGCATTGTCAACCAACTCCCAACAGCTTCAACTGTGTTACCTGACTATAGAGCTATGCACCTTTAGCTTGATTCAGATTCAGGTAAGCTTTGCATTTTGGATGTATAAATATCCTTTAAGCCAAGTTTTCCTCAAGTGTGGAATCCCTTTTCTGCCACTCTGATGATAAACACTTCAGTCAGGATAAATTAATTGTCTTTGCCTCTGGTTTAATCATTATCACACTGTTTGTTACCTTGGTAGTGATTAATTTAGACACTACTTTATTAAACCTTCTTAAGAGAAAAACCAAGCTTGCATTAGGGATAGCTCCACAGCATGCAGGCAAACAAAAGATCGCCTGTTAGAAGTTAAGCTTTAGAGAGCAAAAGCAAGCAGAGAAAATAAGACTAAATGAGGCTGTTGCTCTACACTGAAAGAAATCTGTTGACAAGGAACACTAACAAGAATTTAAACATACACAATGTGAACAAAGAAACTCAACCCATGATGACTCCTCCCAGCCAAGACCATTTCTGTTCCAGCAGGATGAGTCTCTGGAGAAGGTGGAAAAGTCACAGAGAGGTAAATTAAGAACAGAAAGATCCCTCCTCCTCCATTTTTCATTATCAACCACTAGGTAATGTATTTTTGAATGATCTGGGAGATGGGGGAAGGGAGGAATAAATGACAATGCATATGCAGCTCTGGACAGACCCTTCTGCTCTCATATGAACAAGTGAAGACTCAGCATTACAGCAGCACCCAGAAGTACCTTGTTTATCTTGTGGCAATAGCTGTGAGCTGTTCTCTTGAACTTTACTCCTGGCACTGGCTTCCTGCTCTTCCGA